GAGGGTCCCGGCGGTTCAGGGCGTGGCCCTGAATCCCATAATAATCTCTAGCAATCGGGGTCCCAGCTCAGAACAGATCCAGCATCCTCTATATTCCGGCGTCAACGCCAGACACTGGGGAGAGCAGCCCAGCCCACTGCCCCAGGCTGGGCAGAACTAAACTCCAGGTGAATTCCTCCTGACCCCAAACCAGGATCAGCCTGTGCCCTGAAGCATGAGGGTCGATGACCTTTTTCCTTTCAGTTTTCCTTGCTGGGTGCTGCTAGCTCAGAACAGATCCAGCATCCTCTATATTCCGGCGTCAACGCCAGACACTGGGGAGAGCAGCCCAGCCCACTGCCCCAGGCTGGGCAGAACTAAACTCCAGGTGAATTCCTCCTGACCCCAAACCAGGATCAGCCTGTGCCCTGAAGCATGAGGGTCGATGACCTTTTTCCTTTCAGTTTTCCTTGCTGGGTGCTGCTCTTAGTCCTATGAACAACTAGGGGCAAACTTTGTGCTTCCCCAGAGCTGCTCTCTGTTCCTGGGCATGTGGATAACCAGCTACCCCAAGCCTTCCATACCAGGGCATATTCCTTCTGCCAGCCCCCTTTTCTGTTGGGGTTCTGTACGGGCAGGGGGCAGAGGACTAGCAGCTGGAGAAATTCTGCCCTGCATCGTGGGGGATTGGGCCTGCTCCTGCTGCAGGGAGTGGACCAGAACTTCATGTGGGTGGTGCATGGGTGTGAAATTGGCATGCCTCCCACCACAGGGCATGAGGAGCTGTTACCGTAATCACTGGAGTCCTGCACCACTTCCTTTAAAAATCATCCTTCCTTCCTCCTTTTGGGGGAAACCATTCTGTGCAGCAGACTGCAGCCGTACGCAGAAAAGGCCTGACTTCCCCACCCCAAGGCAGCCAGCTGGTCCCTGCCTCAGGACCGACCAGACTGGAGCTTGCTTATACGGAGATATACCTACCTCCTAGCGAGTCTGCTCTCCTGCCCTCACAGCAGGACCAAATACCATCCCTGACAGATCTGCCCCAGATCCCTAAATGGCCCCCCCTTGAGGATTGAACTCACAACCCTGGGTTTAGTAGGCCAATGCCCAAACCACTGAGCTATCCCCCCCGATGCCCATTGGAGGGGGAAGACCCTATGTCCTCCTTCCTTATTCCCCATAGCTAGCTAGTGCCCCACCCTGGGGCCAATCAGCACCAGGGCCCCAGAGGGGAAAGGCCCCATGTCACAGTTTGCGGAGAATGAGACTTTTTAAGACTCTCTGACCACGGGCGCCGGCCCCCCGCTGGTGTGAATCGGCCTCGTGTCCGTGGAGCTAGGTCGCTTTACACCCGCGTGGGGATCTGGCCCCTGTGCTGCTGAGGCCCAGCCAGCTGCGCTATCCCACGGCACCAGGTGGTAGGACCGGACCAGCACGTTCCGTCCCGGTTATCTCTGGCTGTGGCCGAGTCGTTAAGCGCTGGAGCTGAGGGTAAACAGCCCTCCCCACACGGCAGCTGTCCGGAGTGGGGGAGTCGCTTGGCTCCTGAAGGCCTCTTGTGGTCACCATGACAACGCCCCCGGCCCTTGTGTGCTTTGGCTCCGGCAGCCGCTGGCGTTACCTTGACGCCGGTAAATGGCACTGGGGCACCATACTCCAAAC